GCGCTCACGGTTTGTTTGGTATCCGAATCAATATTATATTTAGATATTTTACGTTTCCGTTCGAGTAGATATTAGATATTATATGATGACTCATATCAACACGACACCGCTGGCTGACTGCCGTGGCAGTGGTATCGTAATATCTAATATGTAGTTAGTTTGTCGTTCGATATATAGATATTGAATATTGTACGAAGCTATAGATATTGTATCTATATACGATTTGTATCGCCCACTCTTAGTGCCAAGTTATTTTTTTTATTAATTTTATTCAGTATGATTAATTTTGACAAAGCATTCATTTACCATAACAGTGGTAGAGCCACGCGGCAGTGCAGGGCAGTGTCGCACGGATGGGCCGGCTCGAACCGGGGTGGTACCACGACCTCACAGAAAACCAGCGTGAAGTAGAGGTTTACCTCTGCGTTTCGCTTGGTGAGTGCAGGTGGCCAGAGGCCCTTTTTACTGGAAATGAGGCATTCCATCTTAATCCTCACAGGTGACAACGCATCTACATTTTGATTTGTAATAGAGGATAGATGTAGATGTCCATGGGCCGCAGCAACCACTTACCATCAGGTGGACTGTGTGCTCGTTTGTCACCCTTATCCTATAAAAAAAATTACAACTCATGACAAAAATAAACGTAGTGATCTATTAATTATAAATATTAATTATAAACTATTTTCGCCTCATGAGCTGAGTCTCATCCCATTTAAAATGACTAATACATCATATTTTACGATTTGAACTTGAATTATTAAAAATATTGTAATATCATATACGTGGGTAAATATTATTATTATACACATCCAGTCCCTAAACCAGCAAATTCATAATATTGACTCGGATTAAAATGAAAACCAGGAGCCTATTTTAATAAACAAGGTTACTTACTTGTAACGCGACATAGTCACCAAATCCAATGGTAGTGAGTGTTACAAAGCAGTAGTAAAAGCTGTCAAAGTAACTCCAGCCTTCGTACCGCGAAAACACGGCTGCTCCTGAAATTGTCGGTGTACAATGTTTATTATTACTATCCACGATTTATCAAAAAAAAAAATCCTAGGGATCGTTCATAAAATACATTCACACCTATGCGGGAGAGGGGGTGTCGCTTAAAGTGACAAGATGTAACATGGAGGGTCGAGGGGATCTAAGAAAACGTTCGCAGCTTATAAAACACTTGCAATTTTTTCTCTCAGTTTTTTCGAATTTTATTATATATAGGGGGAGAGGGGGTCTAAAAAGGTAAAATTTTGCGTGACGTATTTTATGAACCGCCCCTTACATGGATCCTATAAAAAGCACTCAGTGTGTATAAAATCGGCAAAGTTATAAGCGCTATACTATTGTAGGTGCTAGTTTAGCTGGTTAGATCTAGTGGGGCTAAATTGCACGGTTTAATTTTTTACCAATTACAGAACTGACAAATAAACTTTTTTATTCAATACAGATTATAAATAATACTTATGGAAAGGCACTCTTTATGTTTAATTTACTACTGGTTCTGAAACTACCCCTATTCTGGGAAGAACCAGCAAAAAAAGTTCATTATTTAATATGCCCACTTAATTCCCAAGGGTTTTTATCATCCATAAATTCCTTAATATTATAATAACCCTTTTTTATATATTTTTGTTTATTAGCAGAGTGATAGAGTTCTTCAAACTCGTATATTATGATTGCGCCAAAAACAGACCAGTGAATCGACAAGAGCCAATCGGATAGCGGCTTTAGCGTGTACGCCCCAGTGCTTCACCTCATACACCCAAGAAATCCTAAAAAAAAAAATCATTGAACTGCGAGCATGTGTACCCTTGTGAAAGACAGCACTTTAAAACCATGCTGCTTGCTAATATAACGTGTTAAATGCCACACAACTATTGTGTGTTTTTATAAAAAATCAGTGCATAACATACAATAATCACATTATAACTAATCCTAACGAAATTTATATTGCTATACAATAATTAAAACGTTTGACCATGCGTTTTGTATACAGGGTTATGTTCCAAAGAGTAGTCAAATTTTAAAATTAAGTTCAAATATATAAATAATGATATACCGTTATTGCAGTTGTTGAAAATACGAGTAAATAATGATTTTACATTTATTTCAAACTATCCCAAAATTCAATGTGATTACCGATTAACCCTTACGAATGTATGCGTGCGTGAAATCAGTTAATATATTACCACACATTTTGAATTTAAAAGATAAAAGGGACAGAATGTTAGAGATTTTTTTTAATTAATTTTTCTTCACCGTTTGCCTATATTACTTATTCTGAACCTTCTCTGCAAATTTGGTCGGTAATTGCAAAATAACCCTGTATATCAAGTCGTGTTTCCAATTGTTGCCATCACATTATTACTGCATTAAATTCTGTGATACATATTATTATGCACATCGTGTTTATATCTACAAAGGCCACAAATGTAGAAATTATATAACATTAAAGCTTAAAACATAACATGGTCTTTAGTTTTACTTACTAATCAACGTACCACATGCTCTACGGTGAAGGAAAACATGTTTTATAAATAAATAAAAAACATATTTCGAAGACATGTGAACTCCACCAACACTTTTTTGGGGCATTGGGGCAGCAAGGCAGACCTTCTCAGAAGTGAGCGGACTGTGCCCAGGAGTGGGAAGTAGTAGAATTTAACTATCTAAGTTATAAGTTATCACCATTGTAAATTCACTGTTAACAAAGGATTAACCGAACTAGAAGTTGTTTAGATTTCTTTATGATCAAAATTTCATTTAATAACATACAAGTAAATGTTGCTATCTTTTGTAATACAAAAATCTAATTTAATTTAAATTTTTATTGCTTGTAGTTGCGGCGTTAGGATATCAATCACTCCATTTCATCTAATCGAAGTTGTAAAAGTCAAATAATATTATGTGAAACTGTCTGTTTAGAAGTCTGTATGGACTAGTCTGCTCTCGCTCATTGGTTCAACCAAACACTGTGTGTTGACTGCAGGTGTCCATGGACAGCGGTACTCACTTATTATACATATACATCAATAGGCGGCAGGATAACCATTACCGAATATCAGAATTGGGAGACACTAATCATTTGAAATACTTTTTATAAATTGTCAACACAAACATTTCTATAAATATAGTATAGTGACGTCAGTGTCAAATAAGGTTTATATAGTAATGTTGCGCGCCACTATTAATGTCTTGTACATGGCAACACTAGTTACACTAGCGCCCTCTAGTGTCGAGTAGCAGAACTAGGAGAGTCGAGATCCTTCCAGAAATTTCGGGACCGATATGTACTCGAACATTCTAGATGTTGCTACAGTAGAAGGTTCTGGAAACTATCTGAGGCCCTATATAAGGCCGGTATAGACCACAACCGGGGCAGTATTGAATTGGCGATACAAGAGAATACTTCGAAGCGAAATAACGGCGAACTGTGTTTTATTATTAGTGTGATTTTAGATTGTAATTAGTGTTGTGTAATTAAAGTGTCAATTTTGGTAATTCAATCGGCAGTTTTTAATTGTCTCGAACCCCAAGCTCGTAACAGTAATATGCTGTGAATTGGAGTTTCTATCCTACCATTCTATTGTACCGTTTATAGTGGCGTTTACCGTTGACAGTGTGTACCATGACAGTACACGCTGCCACTAAACAGTACTACCATGTAGTGACAGTGTACCCCCATATCATCACGTGGGTGTTGCTACACACGACAGAGGGGAAAATGAACCAGGAGAGGTGCAGCAGCTTCGCCGTTATAACATCATATAAAAAATTGCGGTTGCCAACCAGCTTGCCATATGTTCAGCAGTGGACTTTTGATAATCTGTAATGGAAATGTTTGATATGGGGTTTCAATTCTATTATGTTACTGTCAAATTTCAAGGACATTTAATATTTTTTATACAATAACGGTGACAAACAAACACACAGTCCACCTGATAAGTGGATACCATAGACATCTTTATTTATCCTCGATTAAGAATCAAAATGCAGATGCGTTGACCTCTGAGGACGAAGATGTAATGCCTCATATCCAGTAAAAAGGGCCACCGGTTCTATACACTCAACATATGAAACACAGCAGTATTAAACTGTTATATATATATTTCTCTGATATTATTTGAGTGTGTGCTCCTTCCCCAATCGAACCGATCCATTCGTGCTACAACCATAATATAACTGCAGCATTATCTACCACATTAATCATTAAATTCATTCATGTGCATAGTCACGTCATTAAATTCATTAATTCATTATAGCCTATCAAAGTCCACAGCAGAACAGTCTTCCCTATATAATGACATTTGTCACAGTTACTGCACTTAGCAAGGGGTTTGACAATCTTCTATTTATTATTAGACGAAGACGCAGTTCATTCCCATCTTCTAGTTTGTTTCCTTGTGCCGTTTCTTATCGACACCCATGGGACGATTGTGGATTAAATATTCACTTTTAATTTTCTTTTCTACTTCTTTTCACATGATATGGGATTATTAAACAAACATATAACTTTTAGTGAGATATTTTTCTGAAATATCTTAAAAGCGAATAATTCAACAAATAAAGCAAAAACATACTTACATTTATCAAGGCGCAAAAATCAGCATGGATCAAAATAATTCATATGCAGGGCTAAAACTGAAAAAATTAATTGTTTAAAAATAAAAAGAAAGCAAATGGGAAGATTATAAAATAAAACAAAAAGAAAAAAGGCAAAAATTAATTAAGATACACAGCTTTTTGTTTTATTTCTATTATAATATAAATTTATGCCATTACACCATTATAAATATTGTTATAAAATTTAGAAGTTAATAACAGCATTTAAGAGGATATCTATCTGGTTTGCAAAAAAATTGAAGAATGCGTTTTTAACAGTTTATAGCTGTCACAGTGTACCTGAACTACTGAGCTAGACAACCGCTGCTCGGAATGTGTACTAATAAAAAGCTAATGATTGAAACTGGATCAAATTTATTTTTTTTTTTCAAGATCAACATAAGCATGTTTGTGGCTGTCTATATGTTTTTTATTTTTATGTTAAATTTCTTTCCTGGATGTCTGATATTGGCAGATTTGCTGTACAATTTCAGTAATTTTAGATGGTTAGGGTTACTAGTGTATAAGATAATTAATTTATGAAAAAAAATAAAACATGGCACTGGTAGAAATGGACTATTTCGTAAAAACTTTTTTGTTGTAGTGTCAACAGAGCAAGATTTTAGTACGAATTAAGCATCGCCCGGACATCCTCTTAACAATAGAATAATGAGGATAATAGCAATTTATAATTATAATTGTTTTCCCTTGCTATAGATTTGCAATTTTATCACTAAAATGATTCTTTTTCACATTCATGGTTTTACCTGTGGTAATAATAATTGATGATAACATTCCTGTCGCAAACATTAAATTCATTTCTGTTGCCTCAGTTGTTTTGCAACGAAGATAGCACTTGGCGCGTCTGATCACCACTGAAGCAAATTTGTTGAGTCGCTCGCCTATGCTCTGGAACATCACTAACCCCAAAGGGATTCCCACCTGAAAGACAAATGTGTTAAAAACTAAAATTCAAGGGTGATTTTGCCAATAGTATAAAATCAGGATTTTTTTTTATAGAATAAGAGTGACAAAGGAGCGCACAGTCCACCTGATGGTAAGTGGTTGCTATGGCCCATAGATATCTATATCTATCCTCGTTTGCGAATCAAAATATAGATGCGTTGTCACCCGTGAGGACTAAGATGGAATGCCTCTTTTCCAGTAAAAAGGGTCTCCGGTTCTCTACCAGGCCTTGTCAACTAATGTATGGGACCTATGCGGCATTAATAACAGTAGCGCCATCGAATAAATTCGCAGAGAACTACGTCGGCTTCGCAGATAGATGTAGTACTTGGTAAACCGCGTAGATGGCGCGGTAACAAAATTATTTATTTGGTCATTTGTTTTACCAGATGTCTACCACAAAATTGCCAATTTATTTGAAAACATCTAAAATGAGAGTATTCACCAATTGATTTTGTATCTATCTAGACATCTATATTTATCCTTGATTAAGAATCAAAACGCAGACGCGTTTTCACCCCTGAGAACTAAGATGGAATGACTTGTATACAGTAAAAAGAGTCTCTGGCTCTTTACACTCACCATACCAAACACAGTAGCATTTAACCCCAGTCGAGCCGACCAATTTGTGCTGCAACCATAATATAGCTGCAGCATGGCTCTACTACATACTTTTTTTTTCAACAATATTTGCCATTATAAGTACCATTTATTTGCTGATCTAAAATTTTACATATCTTTCGTTATATTATAAGATAGTCAAGATGCTTAGAAAGAATTAAATTCTGATGCAATAAAAATAACTCTTTTTTTTAATCATGAAATTATCAGAAATTGAAAATTAATTGTAGGTTACGCAAACATGAATGACAAGCTCATGGAAACTATCCATGCGGTCGAAGCTAAGTTCTGCAAGACCCGCCGCAGAAGAACACAAAAACTCTCCAATCACACTCTCAATCTCATGGCTGTTAGACGGGAGATGAAGCTACATTCTTCAACAGATTTGACAGCATACAGGCAACTGAACAGACAGATCTCCAAATGCATGCGGCGGGACTTACGCAACTTCAATACAGCTTGTATTGAAGAAGCTATTGAGTGGAACCACGGTTCCAAAGTCTTTGCTAGAGATCTGTCTGCCAGAAAGAGCCAACTGTCAAAGCTGAAGACCGAGTGTGGCAGCATCGTTTCCGGGGCAGCTGAAATTTTGAGTGAGATTGAGAGGCTCTATGGGCAGCTGTACACGTCATCGTTGGAGCCACACGCAAGTGTAAGTAACGATCCAAGAGCGAGTCTTATCCGACACTATTCCGAAGATATCCCGGACGTCAGTCTGAGCGAGATTAGATTGGCTCTCCAGCACCTTAAAAACGGCAAGGCCCCAGGCGAGGATGGAATTACAGCGGAGCTTCTGAAAGCGGGTGGAAGACCGGTACTTGAAGTCCTTCAGAAGCTCTTTAATTCCGTCCTCCATGGTGGCATTACACCGGAGGCGTATCGGTATATCGAAGTGCTGAAGTGTTTGTACAGTAGAGCTACGATGGCTATCCGAGTACAGAACCAGAGTACGAAACCTATCCAATTGCAGAGAGGTGTAAGACAGGGTGATGTTATATCCCCGAAACTCTTCACCGCTGCATTGGAAGACGTTTTCATGCTTCTGGACTGGAAAAGATACGGTATTAACATCAATGGCGAGTACATCACTCACCTTCGATTTGCCGACGATATAGTCCTTATGGCAGAAACGCTGGAGGACGTAAGCACCATGCTCAATGACCTCAATAGTGTCTCCCAACGAATAGGTCTTAGGATGAACATGGACAAAACAAAGATCATGTTCAATGTCCATGTCACACCTATGCCGGTAGTTGTTGGGAGCACTAAGCTCGAGATTGTTGACGAGTATTTTTACCTGGGACAAATAGTCCGACTAGGTAAGTCCAATTTCGACCGAGAGGTCCAATTTCGACGGATTCAACTCCGCTGGGCAGCGTTCGGGAAACTACGACATATCTTCTTGTCCGACATACCTCAAAATCTTAAAACGAAATTGTACAACCAGTGCGTATTGCCAGTGATGACTTACGGATCTGAGATGTGGTCCTTCACTGCTGGCCGTATGAGGAAGCTCAAAGTCGCTCAGCAAGCTATGGAGAGGGCTATGCTCGGGGTTTCTCTGCGTGATAAACTTAGAAATGAGTATATCCGCAGTAGAACCAGAGTAACCGACATAGCCCAACAGATTAGTAAGCTGAAGTGGCAGTGGGCCGGCCATATAGCTTGAAGAACCGACAACCGATGGAGAAGAAAGGTTCTTGAGTGGCAGCCTTGTACCGGTAGGCGAAGTGTAGGGCGACCCCCCACGAGATGGAGTGATGACCTGATAAGACATGCAGGAAGTCGATGGTTGCAGGTGGCTCAGGACCGTGCTTTGTGGCATTCCTTGGGGGAGTCCTATATTCAGCAGTGGACTTATGAAAGGCTGTAATTATGATGATGATGCAAACACTTGTTCCATGCGAGAATTAAACCAGCAGCTCAGAAGCCAAAGCTTAGGCACTACGTAATGAAAATTTTAAAAATTGATATATTACATAACATTTAGCATTTAAATCTGAGGTCATTACTCACAAAAGTAGCTATGAACAGCATCTTAACTATTTCAACAACAAATCCTTATCAAAATATTTAAAATTTTACTTTCACTATCTCCAGATTAATTTGTACAGGTATAATAGTGTTATTTGCAAAGAATACATACCATTGCATATGCCATACAAAATGCTTTCCCACCAACAGTTACAGGTGTTGAATGCCCATACCCAATCATTGCCAGCACCACAGTAGCAAAATAGAAAGCTCCGGCAAACTTCCATTGAGGACCTGCTTTGTGGGGTTTATTCTCTATAATCACTATCTCAATCATGTGATAATCCTCTGGAGTTATATTGTATTTACGTACCAAACCATTCTTCATATCTGTAATTAATTCAATAATGAGGGTTTTACTTATTTTAATATTTAATAAATAAATATGTTAATCTTAACTAAACTGTTGCAAAATTCATATTTTCAACAAACAGGAAGAATTATCTGTGCTTTTATTTATATATTATATTTACTGATATGCATGGACGTAAAAAGATGTGGATGTAATGTTACACTGACAATGTGAAGTTAGGTCGTAACACTTTATTTGTAATATGCGAAATATACACAAATACAATAAGGTCATAGTATATTATAATGTTACACATTTTAAGCCTAAACTTATGTAAGCATTTTGTTAAACATCTGTGCAGTTAGATATAATATAATATAATATACAAAATTTACAGATATGAATTACATTTTATATATTAGTTATATTGGTAATAGAGTAATAAAATGAATTTACAAAGATTTTAAAGGAAATACCCCCCATACTAGAACGAGAAACCTAGGTTTTTCCTAGAGGTTTCTTGTTTTCCCCCTCTTGTACAAAATAGTGTGGAGCTGGATTGTTTCCAGCTCAAGCCAGGTTTAGTAATCTGATTAATAATTGAAATCACGAATATCGGTGTTGTAGCAATCCGTCTTTTCCCTCGTATTTTCTCACAGCAGGTTACAGGGGGAGCTTACAGCAGGTTTTGTACATTTCCTCCATAGACGAGAAGCATATAAAATGAAAAAAGCATACCTGATAAGATTTCCCATCTTTTACTCTCTGTATCAGATTCCAAAGCGTCAAACACAGCAGCTCCAATTAACAAGTAAGTGAAGGTACATACTACAAGAGACAAAGTGCGTACGTTCTGCCGTTTCATTTTCAAAGCTTAATTATTTCTGTACGAAATAAAGCAGACAAGATTTGATGTGTGCACTTGTTCAAAGAGCGTTTATTTACGTTTTGTAGTAAAGTATTTTTTATTGTCTATAAGCATATAATCAGCAATTATTATACTTCACGTTTAAAATGCTCCATTTTAACTCTACGCAATATAACATTCACTAGAAACACTAAACGTTCTATACATAATTTTGGTGAATTAAAACTCTCCGCTAGGAGTAAAGTATTCTGTGATTAAAACCAATATCTATTTGTATACATGTTACTAGTAGTAAGTAGGCATGAGACCGATATATCAAAACGTAACTAATAACGTTATGTTATCAAATATCATATCATATCGATAAACCTAAGAACATAACCGTTATCACATATCCAACCAAAACCCAAAATCAACTAACCAACGTACGAAACGTAAAACGCAAACTGTAACGATATGCCAAAAACCGAAAACGGCCCAAAACCAAAACTAGCCGATGCCCTTTGATATTCGTTGTTTCTCGTTCTAGCGACAGTATCATAAATGCGTATGAAAGAGATGAAGCGAATATGAATTTCGTTGCGATGTTTTGGTTATCATAAAACGGTGCACGTAGTGAAATATAATTATAAGTATCTTAACAATAAGGTCGAATTTTAAATGGTTAAAATTGCCAATTTTTTTAAGTTTGTTTAGTTATGAGAGTTGTCAGATTTAAATGATCTTTAGGACTTTAGGCATTAGACTTTGTTTTGTTTGATCACATTATATTTGGTTTAGGCAACTTTTGTTTATGTGAAAGTTTAGAATTTGATATTTTTTTTCAAACTTAACAATAATACGCACTTGACATTGGTGGCGTGTGCCGTTCACTATGAAACTATCTGTAAAATTATTAATTTTTGACGTTGCGATTGTGCATTTATTTGTAATATTTGTTTGCATTTTGTACATTTGTTTTAAAACTTTCCTGCTAGTCCTAAGCCTAGTTAAGTATATGAAGGTAAATCGCCAACTTAAATAATCATTATAAAAAATAATGATTATTAATATAATCATTATTTTTTATAATGATTGAGATTTATAATGATTGAGAATGAGAATAGAAAGAATGTAATTTTAGACATTTATAATACTATATTACTGCATAACAATCATAAATTATATATTAACATACATGTCTAAATATTACATGTAAGATTATATTAGAGCCTCTGACTTTAAACTAAAATAATCGTAGTAATTCGTAAAATAAATGTTGCACTCGTTCTACAGTTTTCGGCATAGATAATATACTATATAGGGCATAGATGAGCCACTCTGAAAAATAATTAGGTGACGAAACGAGGAAAGTTTCTACTGCGCTTTTATAGATGGCGTAGGGATTATAAATTACTGAAAATTACACTAGAGGGCGCTATCACCTAGGTTCAGTATTATTTCGTACATATTTCAATAAAGTTAAAAGAATTAATTTAATTTAAATATTATCTAATTTGTTTTAAATAACTATTCATTATGTTTGTTTGAGAAAACCATGGTGTACATTGCTTCGTTAATTTACAAAGAATTATTCTATATATATATACCGGTGTATTTCAAAACTTTGCTAGCATGATTTAGGCTACGATATAAATAATAAATACACACAGTGGCGCCATCTTTTAATAAATTATGTAAAAATATCGGGAAAAAAGGTACTTTTACTGTGAGATGGCACTAGTATCAACGTAAAGCAAGCTACTGAGGACTTTCATATCCCTGACTTTAGGTTATGTTTCGGTTGTAAACCATTACTACTGATATCGATATTTGAAAACGGTTTTCAATACCGATATGAAAACTAAATATCAGTTATACAACCGTTGCAGCTAAAAACTGAAAACGCCCATGCTTAGTAGTAAGTCCTAGTATATATACCACAGAGTACCTTTATATAATATATACCTTCCTTATATATTACTATACTCTTTGATATATACTCTCTAGTATATATACAGTAATCTATGATATATACTATCTAGTATCTAATCTAATCTATGGGTGGGTTAATTCGAGTTTACTCGAGTTGGATCTCCCTAACTCGAGTTTGGGCTGCTGTACATGAACGGATTAAGCTATATAACATTGTAGTCTTTGGGATTAAGTGAGCCAGCAAAAAAATAAGCGCCTGATTTGATCTTTTGCTGCGCGCGTTGTGTATCAAAGAGTATTTAGCTACAACGAAAACAATTTGTTATTTAGAATTGTATAATAGCTAAGTCATGTGATTTAATTTCTTTTATAATTTTGATTAATTATGATAAATATAGTTATGTAAGTCACAGACCTATTATTGTAATACCCAAAAGGGTGGTTAAGTTGTAAGATACATAATATTTTAAATTAACGCTTAATGTAAAACTTAATTTACAAAAATATTTTGAACTACGTGGTAGAACCATGCTGCAACTATATTGTGGTAGTAGTACGAATGAGTCTGCTCGACCGGGGTAGGACCACGCTCTCACAGAATACTAACGTAAAATAGCAGCTTAATTTTGCTGTGTTTCGTAAGGTGAGTGTGAGAAACCAAAAACCCTTTATACTGGAAACGAGGCATTCCATCTCAGTCCTCAGGTGTGACAACGCATCCGCATTTTGATTCTTAATTGAGGATGAACGTAGATGTCTATGGGCTACAGCATCCACTTTCCATCAGGTGGACTGTATGCTCGTTTGTCAACCATATTCTATACATAAAATAAAAATTAAAAAAAAATTAAAGAATTTTTTCGCTGTGAAAATTAAACTATTAATAGCTTATGTAACTAACTAACCTACCAAAGAGCTAGATAGAAAAACAAATTTAAAAATGATTTGCTACAAATTATTTAATCTGTTTCGTACTGCTAACTCGAGTTGCGGGAATTTCAACTCAAGTTAACTCGAGTCGTAATTTTTTCGAGTTGGCACATCTATACTATGGAGTGTAGAGTAATCTATACATGTTACATGCATTTTTTAATTAAGGTATTTGGCTTGGATGCTTATTTTTTAAGCCATGTTCTCATTTCATTCGGGATCTTCGTTATTATAGATTTTTCAAGATTTTCAGTATCAAGTGATAATAATTCTTTAAAGTACACAGCTTTACAATATGTCGATGTTGCGTAGTTTTTGAGAGATTTCGACCGGCAATTTGAGCCAGCAGACAGTTGGCGATAATATCTCAAGGCGCCTAAATAGACATCTTAATAATATAATAAACACTTTATCATTATTTACATTTTCATCATCATAATATCACATTTATTAAGACTATATTACAACAATTTTACTTAATACATCTGCATTCTATTCTTTAAGCAGAACTTAATCTAATTTGTTAGGAGGGAGAACTAGAATATTTTGCATTCCGCAAAGTGAATTATTACTTTTGATGTATGACCTTCTTTTTTTTTTATTTAAAATTGAATGTAAATCTTTAGTAATATAATGATAAAACGTAATAAAAATTTCATTTAGTTCATTTATCATGTCGCGGGGAATGAGCGTAAAGATTCAGAGGGTACATGACAGCAGATCGAACGTACAAGTACGTACATACAAGTGGTAAAATTAAAAATTTTGTACAACCGACTTCAATAATAAAATGAGAACATCATCAATGTAATCGAAGTTAATTATAAACGCATTATTAAGGATAACTCAAAAACTACTGGTATCAGATCTTGATTAAATTTATATGGGACCACATGAGAAGCACCAGCTTTCAAATTATATAATCATCATAATTGGTTCACCAGAAAAAAGTTCTGAGGTAACACCCTAAAAAATACAGTCGAATTGAGAACCTCAGCCTTTTTTTGAAGTCGGTTAAAAAGGACAAATCTGCTGTACAGTCAGTATTCACACGATCTAGCATGCTTGATCCACGACAGATTTACGTCCAGCCTATTAATTTTCCATCGGCACGGCACGATACTAAAAGTAGTGGGAAGGTTCGCTGCTATCTTGCTGGATAGGATACAAAATACACCCAGCGTGTCCAGCAAGCAATCATTATTATTGACGAACGTTAAGCTTGCTCATTGTCGTTTTGCATCGTATTGTCGTGCATGACCTTATAATAATAATAATAAACTTTATTTATATTAAAGTGATAGTAGTACATGGGTTTGACATGTTTGTACTATCTATAAAATATGTCCTTCAATCTAGTGGATGTACCTCTACACTCCTAGCTAGGTTACAGTTACAGAATAACCTGTATTAAGGAGTAACAGTCTCAATACCCATGATATTAGGTATATTATTATAACTGCATGCATACAGTTAAAAGTGCTACAATATAACAATTTCTAGTGATTCAAATTATAATATAGAATTGAGGAATGAATGCGTGTGTAAGTGTGTGCGTGTGTTTGTGTGAGTGTTTGCGCGTGCATGTGTGTGTTTGCGTGAGAGAAAGCAGATCAGCAGGGCTATTCACAATCGTCTCGGAAAGCGAAATCGACTCGGATTCGATAACTTCTCGCACCGAAACCAATAAACGCTATTGACATTTAACGTTCGGATAAAGGTCACTTAGATACATCTTATAACTATTGTATCGTCATTTAGTTACATGCATTTACGAATTTTGTAGATAAATAGGCTTTTGTATTTTTTTAGAGTAACGCCTGAACAAAAACATAATGCAATATTTTGGAGTTAGCCATTGATATCGAATATAAAAAATATATAATTTAACTATATAATAAATAACAAAAAAACTGAACTGAAAATTTTACCTATTTTTACGATTTTCATGGTTTCATTTTAATGTTTACTAAAAGAACGAATTATATACATACATTACTTAAAGATGTCAATGATACACAATGAGTTATATAAGAATAAGTAATAATAAGAAATAATTTTCGAAATTTTTTATTTTATCCGCTTTACAATAGCGGCGAAATATTTTTCTATGTATGTAATGATTTTGTAGTTTAATTCAATTCATGTCTGCTATCCATCCCATCACTTCAGCGTTCTTTACCGTTACAGCCTAAAAGTCCACTGCCGAACATTGGTATCCCAATAAATTTTCTCATAGCGTGGATATTGGCCATAGTTGCCACGCTTGACAAGGCTTGTCAACTGCAGTTTTTTTTTCATTTTTAGTAATTATAAGGAAGAAGCTGCTACTCACCTACTGACTTTTTCACTGTTTCACCTCTTTCGACACCCATGGGAGGATATGACTTACACCGCCTTTACACAGTAAATTAAGCGTTATTTATAAATTTTATTCTCTAATCCTTTCATCTCCTAGTATTCGGCTAGGGGATGGGATTAAAGGAACAGAGTTATCTTAACTTAAACATATAATGTAGGTAAAGATAACGTGTAAAAAGAATAGCATGTCGAATAAATAATTCTTTATTTTCACTTGTCTTCATTTTTTTTATAGTATAGAGTGACAAACGAGCACACAGTCCACCTGATGGTAAGTGGTTGCTGTGACCCATAGACATCTATATTTATCTTCAATAAAGAATCAAAATGCAGATGCGTCGTCACCTGTGAGGACTACGAAGCAATGCCTCTTTTACAGTAAAATGGGTCTCCGGTTCTCTACGAATACCATACGAAACACAGTAGTGTTGGCTGCTATTTTACGGTGGTATTTTCTTAGCATAGGAAAGTATATAATACTTTATTTACTAAAAAAAGGCGGCAACCCTATTCACTTGACCCATGAACTTTTAAAATTCATTTTCCTTATAAAATAATTTAAAAGAAATAATAATAAAAATACCTACCTACTGTCATGGATTGCAGTAAAGATTCCACTATTTTATAGAACTTTATCAAGAAGAATTCATGATTTGGGGTATTCTTTGCAATTAGTTTTAAATAAATAATAATGAAAATAAATGTTTACCCTATCTTCAGCCCTTCACAAGTCCAACTCAAAGAGTATAATAAGTATATACAGGAAAGTCCACTGCTGAACATAGGCACAGTATAAATATATTTTATACTGTGACATAGGCCTCCCCCAAGGAATGCCACAAAGCAAAGCCCTGAGCCATATTATAAATATTTGTGCGTCTATAAATATCAAGTAGAGAAAGTCGTAGGCTTCGTCGTGCCGTGCCGATTATGTAAATGTGTCATGACCCATGATGGAGGAGTTTGAGCACAGAACACTAATACCCTTAAGTTTGAGTTTGGAACCACGTGACACGTAATCAAAGAGTTGTTCTTGTTATGATTCACTGACTAAGATAGGCAAAGATCTAAGACCATACAGCCTAATCAGATATGTATTATTATTCGCAAAGTTCTTTACAACATGCTGATACGTTACATTGCAAAGTTTTTGGGAAGTTTTAACAATAGTTTAATCTAGCGGACGCTTTTCTTTTGCGATAACTTTTATCAAGGATGGCAAAAACATCTCAAACCGTCTTAGTGGATAAAAACATCTCGGATTTATTTTAGATATAAAGCACTTAAAACTTCGTTTTCCATAATAATTCACATGAGCAGACATTAAAACCAACTTCAAACCATTATTTATACAATGCTCAAGTAATAATAATCTACTAGTAGTCAACATGATCGGGAGATTCATTTATACCAAAATGTACCTGTCTTTACATTCTTTTCTAACAACATCGTTGCTAGTCTACGTGTATGAGCTGGGTCACCAGCTACTATTAAACTTAATTATATATTCTTTGGAAACTGCGTATTTTCGGTATTTATTTTACAGAATATTGTAAAAAAAAAATATAGATCACCTAAGGCTGTATGATCTAAGATTCATAACCATAACAAGATTTCCACCAATTTTATTTGTCAAACTCAAATGTCACTTTGACAGTTTTTCCATCGTGCTCGGTTTTCGTTTCGATTTTCGGTACGAATAGTTTTGAATTAAACGAGGATTATATCAATTAACCACTCATATTCTTACATTCAGTTGAAAATGAAGATATCTTGCAATAAAACAAACCCTCCATTGGGTAGGTAATTTAAATGTTTTTAACAGTAAATGCTCACCTGCAGACCAAACTTAAAGAAGAATTTTCTTTTATAAATTTCAGGAGGCCTGCTTGCAGCGGAGCTTTATAGACCGTCAGTTAAAAATATTGAAATAATATGGGGTAGCGAATCCAGTGTCACTTTACCCAATTCGTCTAAAGCTATGCCATATGGAACAAGCAATGACTTGATAAGGATACTTGAAAATGCCTTTAATAAATCGTCTGGACCACTGCAGAAGGTCACTATGAACCATTGGCTGTCATTTAGTCTTATATTAGATGAAGAAATTTCCAAATCTATTGAATACCTGGATAAGATCCTTGGCCCCTTGACTTATCTTGTTGGGGAGTCAATATCTGTTTCTGATTTAGCAGTATTTAGTGTTTTGCATGGTAAGATATATGTAAATACCTAAAAAAATGCAAGTAAAAAAAATCAAAAATAAAAAGAAATTATTAATAAACTTCTTTAAATGTCATTACAGTTTCCAGCAAATTTAAAGAGATTTCTACAAAAAATCCTCCAACAAACATTGCTCGATGGATGAAGTTGATACAGGCTCAAGAATTTGTGGGTAAGGCTCTTAGAGAAATACCAACAGATGTTCTGGAAAACCTTACTAAGGCTAGTACAAGGTTTGTGTAATTGCTTGTTATTTTTCATTTTTGTATTATAGTTCAATATCTTTAATTTGATTCATTCATTATATTTTATTTTAAACTGTCTTCGGCTGGTAGTATGACATCTTTTAGATTTCAAAGACCATTTTATTTTATTAATTAAAAAAAGCTTAAGATTTTCAGATAAAATGTAGCCATATATAGGAAAAAATACTGCGACACTACACATCAAAATTAAAAAAAAAATGAATCTGAAATTCTTTTGGAGTATTTCAAAAAGTTATCTAATTAATTATTATGAAAATGTATATTTTGAGGTTAATTTTATAGTCAAATCCTTAGCAAGAAATATATGGGAAAAGGCTTTCTATTACTATAACTATTGAATGCAGTTAATATAATTATTTTAAGATTATCAATTTTGTAATTTAAAATTACTTATTTATTAGTACTGAATGATATCAAAATATTTAACTCAAGTGTGTAGTAAATGGTAGAGTAATATTTAAATAAACATTGACAAAAAATACTGAAAAAACACACTAAATACCACCATAAATTTTTTCCATATAAAAATAATCAAATGTTACAATAGCTATTTTTAAAAGAATATTATTTAAATATGTTGCTTAATATTGTTGCATTTACAAAGACAATGCCTATTCTCAATTTTTTATCTTGAAAGCTATGTCTCTACGCCTACAATCTATTTTCAAACAGCAAAGGAAATTAAAATTGTTGCTGCTGAAAAAACAGACTTTCCAAACGTTAAAAACATTCTTGGGGCTATAAAATTTTTTTACATTCTGAATCATAGTGTTATGTAGCGTAAAATCCTTTGCTGCAAGCCAATTTACGCCAGATACTCACAAAGAAACCTTCTTCCAAATAAAAACATTTGAAATAATAGATGCTTCATTTTCAAAGCTCAGTAAATATCTAGCCTTATATGTAAAACTAACTAGTATCAATCAAATGAGTAGAGTTATAGGTCTCACAATTGTTAACATTGACCATAAAATTCCATCATAGATATTGATAGTTAAAGCAATTATTTGTTACACATGTAAATTCAGTGACTAAACTAGGTACTAAGTAACATATTCGAAAAAATTGTTACATAATATTAAGATCTAAACATGCATATGGATGAAAGTAGAAATATTTATTTAATTTTGTTAATATACTTATTTTTAGATCGCCAGCACATAAAGAACCTGGGTCAGGTCGTTTAGCTGAGGGCAAGTTTGTTGAACTGCCTCATGCTGAAATGGGTAAAGTTATTGTGAGATTCCCTCCTGAAGCTTCTGGGTGAGTTAATGTCATTTATATTTTTTTAATAAATCAGAACTAAAAGCAATAGTTAAATTTATTAGTCTGTTGACATAGTTTATGATACAATTATAATTTTTAAATAGGCACTAAAGATATGATCATTATCATTATCAGTAATCTGTTAAAGTCCATTTTGCCTGTAGGATTGTACTAAATGTCTTGCACCTGTAAAAGTTATCACATAAAATGAAAAGACGTAAGCTACATAAATTTCTTTAAACATACACAACTAAAAAAAAATATATAACAATTAATACATTAGTTGCGGTAGCATTTTTTTCATTTTAATATTAAATAACATCATGTAAATGCATACAGATATCACCTGATGAATTCTGGAAGGTCAAAGACCCATACCATTTGAGGGCGAATATAGGTAGTTTAAACATTGTCAATCCGAACTACTCAAATAAAGAAATATATATATATATATTTATACATATATATATATATATTTATACATATATATATATATATATATATTAACAAGAGAGCAAGAGATGTACAGTTGACTGTGTGAAAAACCCTGTATAAAATTAGTAGTTCCTTTCCTCCAAAACTACTAATAAAACTTGATGCACTCACAACTGCAGACCTCTATTATTTTATTTATATAGATAGTGCCATGAGATGAAACTGGTTGGTTTTATAATTTATATAATAAGAATTTTCCTCCAAATCCAAAACACAAAAATGTAGCTGGAGTTTCACTAAGTGTCAACGATTGCAAGTAGAAATTACGAATAAGTTACATACTTAAAAAAGTTTTAATATCAATTTTATTAAACATAATATTCAATTTTTTTATATTGCTCACACTTTTCAGGTATCTTCACATTGGTCATGCCAAGGCAGCTTTACTGAATCAATACTATCAGCAAGCCTTTAATGGAAAACTCATTATGAGATTTGATGACACAAATCCTGCTAAAGAAAATGCTGAATTTGAAAAGGTAATGTTTGTCCCTTTTGTTGTAGAAACTTTTATTTATAAGAAATTAATTAAACAATTCTTATCATAGTAGTAGAAATTAAAATACTTTTAGCAGTGTTTGTATAAGTACAAGTCACTCTCCGGCATTTCCAAGTTTTTATGGTTATACTGTTATTAAACATAGCCCAAGTTTATGTTGCATAACATTGGACATGGCAAGAATTTAACTTTTGAATAAAACTAATTTTACGAATTGTATCGCGTTTAATTAACTTATTTTTATTAAATATGCGACTTTTCGGGTGCTTTACAGTACCTATAGTTACGGCGGACTGTGGTGATTGATGTCCCAATGTCAGAGTTAATCCGGAGTACCTTCAGCTATATAGAATTTAATAAGAATAAGTTAATTAAACGTGATATAATCCGTAAAAGTAGTTTTATTCAATGTGTAGTGTTCGCGTAAATATAAGAAATCATAATTTAACTTTTGTCAAACTATATCATTAAATTTCAAACCAAACTTCAGGTTATCTTAGAAGATGTGGAAATGTTAGAAATAAAGCCAGACATGTTTACGCACACATCACAGTACTTTGACCTAATGTTAGAATACTGTGAAAAGCTCATCAAGGAGGGCAAGGCGTTTGTGGATGATACACCAGCTGAACAGATGAAAAATGAAAGGGATCAAAAAATCGAAAGCAAGAACAGAAATAATTGTATGTATTGCATTTTTACTGTCACATAAAAATGTTTTTAATATGATTAGTTCCGTTTCGTGGGTATTGTAAGATCCTGTAAGTAGTTCAATGTAAGTTGTATATATCTTGTAGCTCGATCAGTGCCTTGCAACACGTCTTTTGCAAGGAAATTCTTCACGTTTTTGGGACCTTTTGTATAATAAATTACACCAAAAATTTTCTATTTATGAAGTCAACAAATGGCCATGTAAAAAAAGACTTGTAAAATATCTTTAGACTCTTTCATACGCAGACATTGAACAAATACTTCAAATAATCTCATAAATATATACAAACATACATACATAGTTTTTATTTTATTTATTTTATTATATCCAAACTGTTGATTCTTTCTATGTAATATAATTTCTAACCATAACAAATGTGATCTCTGTATAATATACATGTATTATATACTGTACTAATTGCCTAGTAAATTCGGATAGGGCCCGGTGACCTGTAATACGGGTCTTTGAACCTATACGGGCACCAGTCTCTCACGAATGACATAATATTGTTAAGTAGAGATGTAACACTAATGTATATTCTATGTCGTTTGTGGTTAATTATTATTATAGCCAAGATCCCAGGGCCACCAGACATCATTTATTTTCTGATGAACGAAGTGTGTATTTTTTTTTTTATAGAATAAGGGTGACAAACGATCACACAGTCCACCTGATGGTAAGTGGCTGCTGTGGCCTCTAGACATCTACATCTATCTTCGTGAATTATAATACAGACGTGCTGTCACCCCTGAGGACTAAGATGGAATACCTCGTTTCTAGTAAAAACGAAGCGTGTATGATTGAGTAGTGTTAGTATGTACTATGACCGCATGTCTACCTACTAGCTTGCCCATTGCTTGGCCATTTTTCCAGGTATCAGGTAATCAAGTTACGTAAAAACATTACTCACCTCACATTGTTTAATAAGAAAATAAGTGACGTCTGGTGGCCCTGGGATCTTGCTCTGTTATGAGACGTCTGATATTGCGATCCTCAATCCTGCCAAATGTGACGATTAATGCAAATCCTCCCTAAATTGGGAGACGCCTGTACTCTACACAAGACTTAACCCTTTCACCGCCGCGCTTTAGTTGACGTGGAGTGTCTCCAGCGCCAGGAACTTTTATTTAATATTTTGCATAGTGTTGGAACAACCATTTATCGATAAATGAAACAAAGTTTTAAAAATTATAGGTTATTATTTATTTTAATCAACATAACATTCTTCTTATTTGGTATTAACACTAGCTTTAATCATTCTTAATTTTCATTAATCACATTGCACTTAATCAGCGTTAATTCTCTTCATAAAACTAATCAATATTTAGGAGATGGGCATGGACCTTGATCTAATATATGTAGCTCCATCCGAGCGTTATATATCTTTATTATGTCCATATACACTTGCGATCGAATCTCGTATGGGACTGACTCCATTTCAAATGCAATTAATGTACCAAAATGCTCATTTTGAGGATCTTCTGGTCTTTAATTAAAGAATCTTAAAGCGGGCAAACTTATATAAGCTGTGTTGTCATTTTTTTCCGCTTTCCGATTGCATATGTAACGATTTTCGGTCTGCGTTGATCTACCATTTTTGGAAATTTTTCTTTTTATTTTCGTTTTCGGTTAAATAGATGGGAGAATAGATGGCGATAACGGCGGCGATTCGTCACTTTTTGACATGATGATTCTACTCCATATACTAGAAGATTCTTTATGTTCCTGCAAAAATGTATAAATTAAGCAAATATAAATGTAGTGTAAGTTTCTTAAATACCTGACAAATTTTACATGGATATTTACTTACAGATTCAATATCAGCCTGTAGATGAAACTGTGAATATCATTATGCGATTCTAAAATATGTAACAGTTCTTGTTTGTCTAGCATTATCGATAATTTCCAGCACTAAAAATGCAAATAACTATAGTACACGCGTGTTATCACGGTGACGGCGCCACAGTAATTGACAATTTATTGAAACACCACTGTCCTTGACATTAGCCGCACGTGAAATCACGATGCTGGCTTGGCTATATGCTTCATGATGCTGGCGTTCTCAACTCTAATGCACTAGTGACGTACCGGGATAATTCAGTTTTTCGTTTGGGTTGTTTGGTTTAAAAATTAATATTTTTTTTTTCTTGTCGCAAAAATCATTTAAATAATATATGAAATTAAATTTTTATGAATGTTTAGTTCAGTTCATTAAAATATTACATTATGATGACTTGACTATCATTTTAATTTTGAAACAATACAAATATAATTTTTTTGATAAATCTTTTACAGTGGCGCAGCACTGGTCTCAGAAATATCACAGGGATGGCGAGGCAGCAAGGTGTTTAATTTCATCTTGCACTTAGTAACACATATATTTCTGTTAATTTTTTGATATTGTTATCTACAACTGTCCACAATTAATTAAATGTATTAAATTTAATAGCAAAATCGAATTAACCTTGCAGTTTTTCTAGTAACATGAGCATTTCGGAACATTACGTGACGGCGCTGACGGTATTCACCTTAAGATTCGTAATATTACGGCTATGTCGGTGAAAGGGTTAAGAGCGTATGAAAATAAGGATGTGATAAGTTTGAGAAAATATTTTGGTTCGGTAAGGTTGTCAACTATTTGTGCGCATGTCTTAATAAGACTTTACTTCTAGAGTTGATTTAAAGGCTTACTAAAGAAGAAAGTTATTGCCCTAAATCAGTGACTTTTTATTGCAATTGTGTCAAGCTTTTTAATTCTATTTTATAGCTGTTGAAAAGAATCTGCAAATGTGGGAAGAGATGAAAAAGGCAAGTTCCACAGGAGTGCAGTGTTGTGTGCGCGCCAAGATCGATATGCAGTCAGCTAACGGATGCTTGCGTGACCCCACTATCTATCGGTGCAAGCCGGAGACTCATCCGCGTACTGGCACGAAATATAAGTATGTTGACATATTTTGTTGTTTTGTTCTTTAACATTTAATTATGTTTAATGCTTATAAGCTATTTTGCAATTTCTTACATTTTATAACATGATTTCAAACAGAAGCAAACCGGAGCAACACAACATATTGTGCTGTTTCTTTTTTTCGCAACCACTCTACATTCAATAAATTGTGCATTAATTCATTCATCATTCCAGCCTATCAAACGTCCATAGCTGAGCATAGGCTCCCCCATTAATTGCCTCATAGCATTTTGCCATGCTGGGCAAGCAGATTTTATATTATTGCTAGCTGTTCCCCGCGACTTCGCTCGCGTGTTAGAGTTTTTATTTTTTTGCGCGGAACTTTGATTCTTTTTCTAAAATAAAAGTAGCCTAAGTTACTCCTTATGACATTAGCTATCTGCCAGTGAAAGTTCCGTCAAAATCGGTATAGCCGTTTCGGAGATTAGCCGGAACAAACAGACAGACAGACAAAAATTAAAAAAAAAAGTATTTTAGTTATAAGTACCGTATTTACTTTCATATGCATTTAGTAAAAAGCTGTAATTTTGACATTACAAACAGACACTTCAATTTTATTTATTTGTATAGATGAGTTTTTATCAGGAAGATGCTGCTGCCCATCTCCTGTTTTAATTTTCCCGGATGGGTTCAAAAATTATTAGATTATTATTAATTGTTTCAATAAATGGTAAGCTTGATTTCGTGTAAGCAAAACTGTTAGTATGCTACAGCCTGCTGTATCTAATATACAGTAAAACTTGGTTAAATGGGACCTGGATAAGCGGGAAAGCTCCATAACTGAAACTCATACTTAGGTCCCGACACTTTAGCACTGAATTACCTCTGTTAGTGGGACAAAACAAACCTGTGTATCTGGGATTAGTTCTTTCGATTTTATCGTCATAATTACCTCTATAATTGAGACGAGTGTATTTTACCTCTTTTACTGAGACTATATTTTAAGGATGAGTTCTTTCGATTTTATTCGTCATAATTACCTCTATAATTGAGACAGAGAGTATATTTTACCTATTTTACTGAGACTATATTTTGTATACCGTTTTGTTCAGTAATTTTTATTCTACCCGCAAATTCCGCATTTGGCTAATTGTGAAAAAGTGACCTTCAGTTTTAGTTTGGTTTTGCTGTCGTCCGGATGTTTATGTATTAAGTATATTTACAAAATACGTTATTTTATTTAATAATCACACCTCTATAACTGAAAAAACTTCCTATTCTCACCTCTATTAATGGAACTCTCTGTAAATGAGACAGATAATTATTTATACCTGGATATCTGAGACACTGGGTTAGTGGAATACCTCTTTAAGTGAGACAAATTTGCAGGTCCCTTAAGGTCCCAGTTATCCAGGTTTCACTGTATTTTATAATAAACTTATTGGGTGCTTTAGAAAATTTAAAATTTAAACACATTACAAAATAAAATATATACCCACAAATAATTTATTTGTTACATAACTTTGTAAATTTGGTTGGTTGTTTTCTATTCTTTCAGAGTTTACCCGACATACGACTTCGCTTGCCCAATAGTAGATGCTATAGAAGGAGTGACTCATGTCTTACGTACTATGGAGTATCATGACCGTGACCCACAATTCTATTGGTTCATAGACGTTCTTGGACTGAGAAAACCATATATTTGGGAGTACAGCAGGTATATATGATTTTTGAGAAGTAATTTAGTAAAACATATTATGAACCTTTTATTTAAATTTAATTGGTAGGTCTACTTTTACGTTAAGGAGCTCTATTGGATTATGACACTTGCCTTATTGTGGGTTAAGTTTGAAGGGCAAAATAATCAAGTATATATAAATATATTTCTTTCCCTTCATATGTCTATAGATTACACATTTAACATCACATTATGTATGGTAAATGTATATAACATCTGCATAATAGTATCTCTCTAATAGCTAATACGCTTTAATGTTGCGCTGTCAACCAAGGAACTATGAAATTTCATTCTGCTTGTCCTAATTTGTCGCAGCATAATTTAGGAGTATATTTTTTTCTGAATAGGTCTCAATTTCTAAATACGACTATATTTCAATAATCATTCAGTTTTCATGTATTCATGGGTCATGAAGAATTACTTAATTAATTACTAATAATAGTTAGTTTTTACTAATAATAGTTAGAAAAACCAATTTTAAGAATTAAGATTAGTTTTTTTAACCCCCAATGCAAAGGGAGGGGTGTTATAAGTTTGACCCTATGTATGTGTGTCTGTCTGTAGCACCGTAGTTCTTAAACTGGTGAACTGATTTGGGTCGGGTTTTTTATTTAGAAGCAGTTTTCTAACGGTGGTCCTTAGACATGTTTTATCAAAATCGGTTCAGCCATTTCAAGGACATCAGTTGTTTTCTTAGCTGCGGTAGGGTTCTTTTCGGGGGTTTTTAAAATTTTCAATTCAAGTTTTAAGCTGGTTAATATCAAATGTTAAAGTTGGTATATCCTACATTACCTAATTTTTGAGTAATGTATATATACATCTGCAAGAAAAATGTAAGCAAATTACTGTGATTTAACAGATTACTTAAATTACAATAACAAACATTTAAGCACTTAAGCCATTATCGTTACAGCCTATAGTCCACTGCTGAACATAGCCCCCCCCCCCCCATAGATTGCCTATAAAGGGGATATTTACCACGCTTGGCAAGCCGATTGGCACCCGAATTTTTTTTTAGTCGTTATTAGGGACCAAATCAAGATATGGGCAGTAGTATACTGCCCATCTTCTGATTTGTTTTCCTCAGCATTTAAACAAAAGAAAATATTAATGACTATGGTAATAATGCGTCGGCTTATGTTTCGAGCGACCGTCATTCGGAACACTGTATTACCTACATAATGTAGATACTCTGATCCTATTACATAATATACATAATACAGAATTTCTTATGAAAATTAGAAATAAAAATTCTTAACATTGTAATGACTTTCCAGGTTGAGTATGACCAACACAGTGCTATCCAAAAGAAAACTTACATGGTTTGTGGACCAAGGACTGGTTGATGGATGGTAAGAAAATGCATGTGGTAAAATATAAAAGAGATTTTAATAAGTGTTATTTATTATATATATTATCTGTGTTGAATGAAAATTATTTTCTTCTATACTTTCTTCGATCATCAAATATCCAACAATAAAGCATTTCATTTATGCACTACAGAACCATAAGAGATACTATTACAAAAACACTTAATAAAATAATAATCTCCTCTAGACTGAAATTTCAGTCATGGTGGCCAGTCCCAACGTGGACTCTCCATCTTCACAGAACAGGATTATAGCGCACAAATGTGCACAAACATAGTACACTCTCTCTTCCCTGAATTCCCTGAAACATACACTGTTGAACATAGGTTTCCACCATGGGTTGACTTAAAGGGGGATATTGGCCATAGTTGGCATACTAATCATGAGGCCCACAACTCTAAAGTATGCCACACTGGATACATGGGCATTGGGTATTGGTAACTGCAGTTTTTTAGCATTATTAAGTAGTTATCAAAGGAAGACTGCTGCTTATCTCCTATTTCAGTTTCTCTCTGTCACTTTTATGACATTCACACGATGATGCGGTGTAGTGGATTTTCTTGTCGCCACGGATCACGCTTCCACAGAATGTCTGTGTTTCGTATGGTGAGTGTAAAGAACTGAGGACCCTTTTTCTAGGAATGTGGCATTTTATCTTAGTTGTTGGTGATTCACATTTTGATTCTTATTGGAGGATATATTACGTTGGTGTCTATAAGCCACAGCATCCATTTATGATCAGGTGGACTGTGTGCTTGTTTGTCACCTGTATTCTATAAAAAAATAACACAAAAATATTATGTATAATAAAAACATTGCAACATTTTTACGTACCAAAATCCATTTCAAAACAATATTTAAATAATAATAATAATACAGGAGCAGTACTCCGGCGATGGCCAAGTTTCCGCCAAAATAGTTTTTTTTTTAATAGAATAAGGGTTACAAACGAACAGATAGTTCATCTATGTGAATGCTGTGGCCCATAGACTTCTACATTTATTCTCAATTAAGAATAAAAATGTTGCTGCGTCGTTACCCCTGAGTACCGAGATGGAATGACTCGTTTGCAGTAAAAAGGGTCTCCGTTTCTCTACAGTCACCTGTTATTTTACGCTGGAATTATGTGAGGGTGTGGTCCTATCCCGGTGGAGCCGAGTCATTTGTGCTACAGCCATGATACGTAGTGTACGCTGTAGCGTGGCTGTAGCACGCAGTGTAGAGTGGACGTGCGGCGCAGGGACGACCCGCGCATGCCGACGGTGCGCGGCGTGCTGCGGCGCGGCATGACGGTGGAGGCGCTGCGCCAGTTCATCCACGCGCAGGGCTCCAGCCGCTCCGTCGTCTTCATGGAGTGGGACAAGATCTGGGCCATCAACAAGAAGGTGAGTCTACCGCCTCGACACACCCGCTACCTTATTAACACGATTTTATTAGCTTCGCCTGTATCTATATATCTATGTAAAGGAATCTTTTGATGCAATTTCTAGCTACTTGTAGACGACCAATTAACTTGAAAATTTGCTCTCGTATTAAGGACCGGTGACAGTATAATAATTTAATAACTTTACCTAGTATCCTAATCAGGATGGCCAGAATAAAATAACGTAAACAGCTTAGATGTAGCTTGATTCGTGTTGTTTAGGTTTTTCTAAAGTCTAATATTATTTTATTATTATTATTTAGCAAGATATAAGTCTTTATCTTGGTTTCAAATCTGTAATTGCTCTATTTTAATTATTTATCCAGTCTTTTCTTAAATCCATTTATGGTTAGTGCACATATCACTTCTAATAGCAACTTGTTCCGTGCTTTAGTGGGTTATCATGTGACATAGCTTTAGTCAATTTAATCTGATGCCTCCTAAGATGTGTGTTGTTTGAGTACTAGAATAATAGTTTCTCGAAATTTTCTAAATCATAGTGTCCATTATAATTTTATATGTTTCAATCAAGTCTCCTTATTCTCTGCGATCTTTCAGAGTCATTGGTTTAAGTGTTTTCAGCCTTTCCTCATGTTCTAGGACAGATGGTCATAGTATTCTCTGGGGCATTCTATTTTGAAGTCCATCAAATAAAACACGAAACAATAAAAATCCAACGTTAACTTCACTTTAAAAAAAAACACACACATACACACACACACACACACACACACACACACACACACACACACACACACACTGGATTTGCCATCTCTCGTATGCTATTCAATATATAAGATGGCCATAGAAGTTGAGGTAAGATGGCCATACTATTTTAATCGATATTTTAAGATGGCCATATGGAGGAATTATGAGAAAATGACCTCAAAAACGGTCCCCGGAAAGAGAACAAGCCAAGATGACTTCTTCTCCTTCTTTTCAGACCTATAGTCTTCATGCCACATGACATTTATGTTCGAATTCCGTGCAGTTTTCGTGCACCCAACATTTGCATACGGTGCACTGAATCCAGTCTTCTATTAATTCTATTTCGTAATAGTTTTCGCCACATCCCACGCAGTCATTAACAGAGTTTTCTAGTGGAAGATTTTTCTTATTTGTCTATGAGAACCGCTTCATCTTCATCCTCTGTATCAGTTGATTCCTGCCACTTTTAAAAGTTTTTATTTTGTAGTTTAACTCTGTTTTTCTTCTGTTGACATTCTTTGCTAGTAGATTCCTTCTGTTTTTATTTTTGATTAATCAGTTCACCTTCGATATACGTGTTGGAAGGTTCCTGCCGCTTGTTGGACTTTTTCTTTTATAGCTCTCTTTTGTTTTCCTTCTACAATTACAATTGCCGTATTAGTACATTTTTCAAAGTTGCTTAAATATTCATAAATAAGCAATAACAGTAGTAGGTAATATGGCCATCTAACCTTCAAAAATTAGGGCCATCAGTCCTAAAATATATAGGAGAGATGGCCCACCCTTAATTCTTCGAAATAAATCAACAACAGTACCTCTTTTAGAGTTTATGTTATAAACAAGTATGTCCTAAATGGTACAGCTCAAAATACGGCAAAATAGGTGTCTACATTTTGCCAACAGTTTAATCACTAACCAGGCGCATTATTAGCTGAAAGAATTAACAGCAAATTACTAACTTACTTATTTATTTTTTGCTGTAAACTTCA